ATCGAATAATCACGAAGCTTTTGAGTAATACATAAATTAGTCAGTGAGAAGGGTAGAAACCCTCCAAGTAACTAAGAGTAAAAGTGTTCAGATGCACTAATTCGAAAAAGACTCAACATGAATATGAACAAAAGTATGACGACACTATAATCTATATATGTTATATTAGTTTATGCTTGAATGATATTGTGAGCAAACACATAATATGTAACATCAAGACTATTAACATCTCTTAAATACTCACATACCTCGTACTCTATTTAAAGTAAAATAATTTTAAATTTAGTTACGTTAACTGACTGCTAAATAGAAATGCAAAAAAAAATAATGTAAAAATGTATGCTATATATTTATAATAGAAAAACGTTATAGGTAAATTAATTGCAAGTCACCTTTTAAAGCGTTTTAAGTAAATAATTATGCAAAATATGTGCCATAAGCGTTTGTGGCGCATTACAATTATAAGCACGCACAGTCTTCAGAAGGAAAATAGCAGAAAAACAATATCATCTTCCCAGCATATTAAATTACAATAATCTTATTTGAAGTTTTTCAGGTGTTAATAAGAGAGATGCAGAAGAAACAGATAAATAATATAAAATTCACTTAATAATAGTAACAATATTACAACATAAGCGCATTGTGTATATCTTCACCAAGAAAAAAAAATGAAAAAAAAACAGAAAAAAACGAAGATGGATATAAATGATATAGCGGAGCTGTTATGATATACATCCATCAACGTAAATGTGGAAAAAATTTGTTCAAAATGTGTTCAAAATGTTAATAAAGTAATCAAAATTAGATTACGAAAAATTGAATGAAATTGTAAAAATTCCTAAATGTGCAAAACTATAAAACTAAAATATTGTTAAAGATAAATCACATAATTTATTTATACATACATGAATTAGATACCAGCGATCTGGTGCATTTAAAATAATTTTAAAGTTATTTAATTTTTTTATACTATAATGTAGGTATATATACGTAAAATGAAAATGTGAAATAATAAAACCTTAATGAAGACAAATTGCTGAGAAATTTATGGTCAGACTATGGCCACGAATTTTAGGGTCTACATTTCAAAAAAAAAAAAACAAGATAAATGCACTACCGGTATTTGACAATTAACATGATTAACCAAATACTAAATACTGAATACTGCGTTGGTCAAGAGTGATAATTATCGCTACTAAATGAACTTAACACAATAAAATAAAACTGTAACTGTAAAAAATCATAAAAAAAATATAAAAATTTTTTTTAAAATGTTATAAAAATTATTTTAAAGAGTAATTACTATACAATTAGCTGACCGTAATGCTGAGAGAGTCACTTATAACATTATTATATAGTATATTACGAGTATATATTCTTAATTGTGCTTAAGTAGTTACAAAAGAAAAAAGAATTTAAAGCTCTATTAGCATTTTTCTTTTTTCTATACATTATATATTCTTAATTATACTTAAATAGTTAAAGAAGAAAAAAGAATTTAAAGCTCTATTAGCATTTTTCTTACATTTTTTATTCAACCTCCTCTGCAACGATTGCGATATATTGTATCTGATTTAATGGCATAAATCGAAGCATTGGAAAAAACAACGCCTCTCAGCAATTGCTAATTTTTTATTAAATAATTTAACTAATAATACTTTATAAAAAACAATAATTTTTTATTTTTATGAGTATAAAGTGAACTTAACTTAACTATACTGAGTTTAACATTTAAGTCTATTCAATGACTTACCATACATATTGTTAGAGCGGTTAAAGTCAAATTGTTAATATTGTAGGATTCTGTAGAATTATTAATTGATGTGTTATATGATTTATATTATAATTTATTATATTTTAATCTATTGTAAATCATATTGTATAATTAAATTATTATAATTAATATATTATATAATTCATATATATATATAATATTTTATATGGTTAATATATGGTTAACTAATTTACCTAACTAACCCTGTATAAGATGTAATCAAACCAACGGTTCTAAGTCTTGTTTTATTGCCTTTTGTTTTTTGCGCTCGAGATGAGCAAATTTTATTGTTATATTTTTTGACTGCAAGTAAACTCCGTTGGTTTGATTCTGTCTCTTGTTTTTCGATCGCGAACGTGTCAACACACGGGTACACATAAAAAAGTGATTAAACAATCAATATATATATAACCGAAATTGTATAAATTCAATTGTATAAATTAAATGAAATCAAAACCCAATTATAAAAACGATTATAATTTACATTGTGTTAAATAAATTGAAATAAAGATCACAAACCCCAATTATAAAAACGCTTATAATTTACACATATGGTTTCGTGGTGCTAGAAAGCGTTAAATGTTATGACATCATGACTTAACATATTCATTGCACCTAAACTATTGGTTAGATTGTAAGTTGTGTGAAGTAGAGGAAGTGCTTTACTCATCTCATTCATATAACGTGCTCCACAATAACTTTAAAGTGAATACTTTATGCAAATTTAGGATCACATAAACAACTTTTATACACATCTCTATCTAAACATTCATTTCACTTTTGGTGAAAATCATGCAACATGAATAAACGTTAAAAGTAGCCTTTGACTCAAAAGCACAATAAAAAACAGGATTTAGATTAAGATTTTCATATGTGATGAATATGGATCATATGTATTGCATAATATGATATTATATATCATCGTTATAAAATAGACTCAGGACATTTAAGCTATTCTTTGAAGTTGAAACCTCTTATGATGCCTCATGCATGTCGTTGTCCACATCGTGCCTTATGCATTCAATCATCATACATACAATCCAGATGATAATAACTCATTTGCATGCATTTTAAGTCAATATTACAATTAAATATAATAAATCAAATAAATTTAAATTGATTTAGATTGATGTTAGATTGACTTTTAACGTTCGTTATGACGAAACTAAATTCTAAATACAAAGGATGGTTTTCAATAGAGAGGTATTGCGAATAGTAATAAATTACAACTGTTCAATAAAATTCAATAAATTAATCTATTAGTATAATGTAGAATCCTCTAAACTAAAAACAATAAGAATATAACAGAAAGAGAAATAAATAGAAATATATCTGCTCACATAGAGATACGAGTCGAAACTTTCTATACCTTTCTGTAAAACATAATTGGTATTTCTAAAATAGATGAGAAACAAATTCAGCATTATTTTTAAAGTTCACTGTATAGAGTTCTATTGACACTTAAAGCTCAACATTATTTAATGATATTAATTAGTTTGACTATTAGATGCATAGTTGAATTAACATATAGTACACGAAATTTAAACGTGTCAGAAATAAAACAAGACCTCCTCATTATCGTTTCAAGTAACCTCAAAGATCAAAAAAGTAAGATTTTCAGTAGAATTTTTATATGTAATTAAAAGATATTTTGTTTTGATTTTTTTACGGCGTGGAGAAGGAGAAGGCAATCCGCGAAAAGTAAATGCCCGACATGTACACCCCATCCTCTTTATTCTTAAAAACGTTGTCCTACCCCGGGACTACATTAGTATTACTCAAGGTAGGGACCTTATTAATCACTTAAGACTTTCATCGGTGTGACCTGCGTTCAGGAGAAGCTGCTACTTCAGTTGATTATCCTTGCAGTGCGTCTTGATGTAATACATCTGCTTGTTGCAGCTGCGTTTTGTCGGGATAAACTTTTTTCAAGCTCAGGAAGTTATCACAGTATCACAGTATCAGAGTTATCAGAGTATCATAGACGTAATTTTTAGGGCTGAAGTCGTTCATAGCATGAGTTGTCTTTGATGTCTAACTATGTAACTTTATTTCTGCGACATAGACTTAGATTTATTGAGAAGATAAAACTGACAACTTAGGAACTTGTAAAAAGTGGCTATAATTAATATTAAATATTTTTTTTTATTATTTGAAGCACAATACATACAATAATACAAATACATGTTTCATTTGACTACGACTAATTCAAGTACAGAGAACTATCAAGCAGTTTTGTTATATTTCACAATACATTTTACAATTGTTAAGTTGTCAAAGACTTAGTGCTAATAGAGTAGTAATCTAAATTATTATTAGACTACTAATTCGGGAGTAGATGTGAAGGCTTAGTTCGTTTAAGTCTCCTCAGTAGGCCAGATGTATTAGACAGATAGTGGGCTGTCTCGTTTGGGTGCTGTTATAACCATTTTTAGTGCTTTACCGCAAACTTTTGTATTACTGCATCTACAGATTCGATCTTCAAGTCCCGATGGAAGTCAGTATTGCTAATGGACCACGGAGCGTTCCTCAAACTTTGTTTTGGAAATTTTGAATGATTTGAATAGACGATTTCGATGCACATCCCCATAACTGGATTCCATATCTCCACACCGGAGCTAATACTTGCTTGTATATCATTAATTTCTTACTTAGAGAGACGGGTGATTTTTTCCCAAGAACCCAATATAATTTTTTGTATTCTGATATTAAATAATAATATAACTAATTAAGACGTGTTTTAAATTAAATTTTACAGAGATTTTTTCGAACAGTAGTGAACTACAACAACAAAAATTCATTTTATATTATTTTAATTAATTAAATATTTGGCTGACCATACAGCTGTTTCGAGTGTTGCCGAATACCCCAAAATTAATTATTAATTTTATTAATTAAATATGAAACCCTTATATGCTTTGTAATTGTTAGTACTATTATTATAATTTTTTTTTTTTCTGTGTACTTGTATTTCAATTATTGAAGATGCTTAAGCGATGACGTTTTTAATATCGAAAACTGCACGTTCAAAAATAAGAAGTGGGAAAAACAGCAGCCACGACGAATCATGATTAAAACTTTTTTCTTTGCTATTATTGTTTTTATTTCCTTAAAAAGTATTATTAACAAACAAACAAAAAAAAATATAATAAAATTTTTAAAATTATTAACTTCATTGAAATAAGTGCGCAAAAGTACAACGGCTAAGCGTTAACGCGGCGACAAAAGAGCGACAAAACAGCGCTGCGAAGCCAACAACACAGCTTCAAACTGTCGCTCCTACTGTTATTGCTACTGCGCAAGCGTCTGTCCGACGTCCGTCCGACGTCGCTTAAACGATGCTAGCAGTAGCTTGATGCAAGCTCAGTTTGAAAATGCGAATTCATTAAAAAGCTAGAATTCGTGCGGTGCGGACGTGTTGAACTTAAAGCGCGGCTTAAATATTAATTTTGAAAAATTCTACATCTAACGCTGGTAAAAAGATATATATATACATATAAAAAAGTAAATAAAAATAAAAAGCAATAGAATATAAACGACGTATAAGGCAACTTAGAAATTTCAATTACTTAAACAATTATTTTAAATTCAATTTTTAATTTAAATTTTAATTGAACAGTGCTTAACGCCTACATTTAAAACTCATATTTGCGCGCGATTATAAAGAATTATATAAAGAATTAATTAATTAATAAAAAATTTATTAAGTGAGAAAAAAAATATTCAATTTTTTAAGTGCTATTTGCTATTGTTTCAAAAAACAACAACAACAACAATAAACAAAAAAAAAAACAAAAAGAAATTTGTAAAAAATTTTGAAATAATTTGAAATTTAATATCTTTATTTAATTAATTTATTTTTAGCATTACTTAATATTTTTCTGCAAATTTATTGTTAATCAAATATCAAAATAAAAAGTGCTAAACAGCCGCTAGTAAAAAAAGAAAACAACAACTGCAGAGCAAACAATATGCTGTCGACATCACGACAAAGCCCTCGGCAGGGTTTAAGCTTATTTTGGATTATTGCCGTTACTGCTGTCTCCGTAACGCTTTGGAGTGGGTCAATTGTATACGTAAATGGAGCGCCCGCTAAACTCGGTATAATAATCTTATTATAAAGTTCTTAAGTATTTTTGTCTGTTTGAAATTTTTTGTTTGTCTATTTGTGTTCTCAGATTATTAATTATTGATTGTGATTGGCTTTTTATTGTTTTTGTGTTTATCTGTTTCTATAATAATAATTTCTATATAATTGTTCGTAAATAATCTTTTGGGCGTAAAAGTTTTACTTTTTTTGTTAGCTTCTTTTTATTTGCTTTAAAAGGAAAAAATTCTATTGTTGCAGACTCTTTCATTTTTGACTGCATGAGTCTATTTTAATCGTGTTTTAAACTTCTCTTGTGTCTATTGTCTTGTAAATAACCTATAACACTACTATAAAGCTATTTGCATGAAATATATTTATAGGCCGCATGCGAGTTCGAGTAAATTGATAGTAAATTGTGTGAAGTAGTAAATTATGTCGGTATGGCAGCGAATGTTGGTATTTAACAGAATTTTGAGTACGGTAAATTAGATAAATATGATGTAATTAAGTGTTACCATTGTGAAAATTTTATAAGATGTTTAATAAATAATTTTATTTAAAAACATTTAACCAAAAATTAGAAATAAGTGCAATAAATCAATATATACATAAGAGCAGTGCAAAAAATTCCCAGGAAATTTCAATTTACTTTACCTCAATTTACTCGAACTCGCACACGACCATAGTTGAATTATAGCTATGTTGTATTTAAAGTGCTATTTTTTCGTATCGACAATTGACAATTACTTATTCAATTTTCCACACAATCTGCTGTTCCATTTCTTTTGTTTCTGTTTAAACATTGCCTCCCATTTCCTTTTAAGCACAAACGCTCTAAATAAAACATGGCTAATATATCCTTTCTTATATATTAATAAATTAATATATTATATAAATTTTTTATATATATATATTGATGTCGCTTATCTACATTTTATAAATATATAGATACATATACATTTGTGTCGCTTATCTACAATTTATAAATATAGATATATTAATTATACTTCTGCTTTACTCACTTACTCCTACAATCAAAGCACTTTAAGCTAATGTCTGAAAGCAAAATTTCCAATACTTATTGAACGCAATATATTCATGTCCATCTACATATCACAATACATAAGTAAAAATATTTCCTGTAGATGATTATCGAAGATAATTGAAATATCGGAAAATATCTTAATAAAATATAAATAATAAATTATAGTTTTTTTATTTTTATTTAAATGACCAATTAGCCCGCTCATAAATTATTAACTAAAAAAAAATCAGAACATAAATTATACAACACAACATATCACTCAAATTGAATCATCACAACAACAATAATATGAACTTTTGGAACGTTGTGAAATCCATAAAATTTCCGGTATATACATTTAGTCAAAATTTCGGGTACTGCCTAACGTTTCTAAAAAAATATATCTGTTCACTATACAATGAGTGTATTATTTCATATTGAAAGTTAAATTTTTAAAACATAAAAAAATATCAAAAAATAATCACAAATAAAATAGCTACGCTTTTTTGAAATAATAAAGGACTTCTCACGCTTTCTCTATCGTATAGGATTACTATAATATTAATTTTATATAAAAATATAAAAATTTTTCAACTTTAAAAATGTTTACTTGAAACATTTTTCATTTTTATATCTTATTTTTAGTGCAGTTAAGTAGCACTTTTATTTCTTCCACTCTTTATTATTCCTTGTATTATCAAAATATTGTTTTTAAAAAGTGATAAAAATTTTACTTGAAACATTTTTTCACTTTTATTGCTTATTTTTAGTGTAGTTAACTAACACTTTTGTAACTTAAACTCTTTATTATTTCTTATATTATTTAAATATTTTTTTTAAAAAGAGATAAGAAATTTTGTGTCGATGTTAGAAAATATTTATCTAGAATTAAACTATATTAACTTATTGTAATTTTTTATCCGTGTTTTTAGAATAGATAGCTAGCATTTTTATATATTTTCTTATACGTTTTTTTCTTTGGGATATTAAAAAATTCCTTGCAAATAAAAATACCCTTACTCTGTAGTGCAGAAATATAACATTACTTTTAAATACAAATGAAGATTTTACCGATATTGAAAGGTTTAATTTATTTTGTGCCTGTAGTGCAGTTAACTAGCACCTTCATATCTTCAATTCGTTTAAATTGTTTGGTTTTATTTTTGGTGCTTTTAGCTGCTTCTTTAACACTTTTTATGTTTATTTTCTTTTCAGTTTTATTCTTTTCACTGTTTATAATCTGTTTAATACCCATTTTAATTTTCTCGCTGTTTTAAACAGGGTCTCTTCTTTGCAATTACTTCAATGCGCATTTAATAAAAGATAATAATGTAAAAATAATATTTCATATTGTAATTTTTTTTTTGGTATATTGTCTCTTATAAATAACATAAAAATAATATTTCATCTTGTGATTTATTACTTACCCAAGTACGCAAGCAAATTTTGCTTTTTAAGGCTTATCCTTTCATTATCACTATAACTCTCTTTTGAAGACTATTTATTGGGTTTTAAAAAAGTAATTCACTTTTATATCAAAACATATGCACCTTCACAAAATTACAATATCTGAATGGATATTTGCCTGGAAATCTTTTTATCTGCATTTTTTAATTTTCAAACTTAAGAGATTTTTATTAAACATTTTAATTTGTTATTCAATACCAAAGTTTCGTGTAATTATTTTTTAATTTATTATTTAACAAATGTATTCATATCTTCCAACAATTTTATTATTGTGTTTTAAAAATCTTCTTTATAATTTAATTACTATCTTATTTTGATGAACATTAAATATATTTTGCAAGTATTCATTTGTTAATTTTATTTATCAAAATTTAATTTTTAATGCCTGAATTATATATTCAGTAAAAATTAATGATATTTTTATTTCATTTCCTTGGAAATTTTTATTTTCTATTTCACAATCACTTTTGTTTCATAGCAGTTCGAGCCAATCAAAGCACAAAAGTATCTTTACATCCACATGACCTTTAATATTGAGGCCTATAAGGATTAAAAATAAAATTCATAGTTTTTTTTTCATATTATGAATACTTTAATTTTATGTTATATGCTTTTATGAGTTATAAAAATTGTTTTTATTACTTTAAAATTTTATACAAAATTGATAAAAATTACTTAATTTTGCTAAAAATTTACAAATAAAAGTTTTTTTAAAAATATTCAAAAAAACGGATGACAAAAAAAATGTTTTATTCAATAATATTATTTTATTTGTGTAACTAAATAATGTAAACAAATTTTATTTTGTATTTGTTTAAACAACAATAAAAAATTGCTTTAAATTGCGACTGCTACAAGATTGCAGCGGCAAGTCAACGTCAAATTAAATGCCAACACCGACAATACCAACATCATTAAGTTGTATAGATAAACAATATGAAATAAAAAATTCAAATTCAAATATAAAAAGATTTCAAATAAAAAAAATACAAACAAAAATCCCATACTTGCAGAGGTCGTTCAGTAATATGTTGGCGTTGCCACCTCTTTGCTTCATTACAACGTTACAACGTGTACTCATGTGTAGATGCAATGATTATAAACAAATTGCATAATTTTAGTTTTTTTTTTTTCGTTTTTGTTTTTGTTTTTGTTTTTAGTTATTTTCTGCTTCTTTTGACACATCAGCCAGTGCATCTTCGTTTTCCTTATTGTTGACTTCGTTTTTATAAGCATTTTTAGCAACGTGCAATTTTAATGGTTTTTCCTACTGACACAAAAAGGTTTTAGGGCACAGTTGAGTAAATTATTTCTGATACACTCCGCATGAGATGATCTCTATGTATAAGCAAATAATTACAAATTAGTTTTCAAATTTAAAGACTTCAATTTTTTCGTAATAATAACCTAGACGGATTTAGGGATTATATTGTGTTTTGCCGATAATTTAGCACTATATAAACAACCTCAAATATTTATATACATTTCTGAATTATTTATTAGATGGGAAAATGGTACACAGCTAGCAATGAAAATAACTAGTGACTATGTTAGATATAATATTTTTAATTTTTAAATTTTCTACAAAACTATTTGTAAATTAAGTTTTGGAGTGATATAATTATGGACTTCTTGATTAAATAAATAATTAAATAGTGATTAAAATGATTTAACAACAAATTAAATTAAAAACGTATTATATTCTATAATCTAATTAATTTCAACATTTTTGTTAAAATATAAAAGCTTTATTCACTTTTTAGGGTACAAAAAACGAGTGTACCCGTAAACCAGCGTTCACATGAGTCAGTATCCATATTTTTTTAAATGCACTATTATTAAATAAAATTAATTAAATTTTATTATTTTTTATTATTTAAAATAATAATAAAATGTAATGCATTGCGAAATGTATATATGTATACATGTATCATTGAGCAATTTAATACAAGATAGGAGTAGCCAACAGTACAGAAGTTGGCTCCTCTTTGTTAAGAAAAAATTAAACAATCTCATTAATATTCTCAGTAAGGACAATAAACTTGTATTAGGTTTATTGACATATTGCAATCTTTTGCAAATCCTCACTAAAAGAATAAAACTTCTTTTTAATGACTTCTGTTGCAGTTACGGGGACGACAGAGGAAGTGCCTCTGACACCTGCTTTGTTACTATCGATCTCATAAGCAAGTGGATCATGTTAGTGGTTAACTTTTGATAGGATTTTAATCAGTTTCAAGATCTCACTTCAAGACCACAGCACTTTAAGCTTTGCCAAAGATTCAAGGTAGTCTTAAAACACTAATTTATGTATTGTAGCACAATGGAAAATGGATTAAAGTGGAGTCTTAGAATCGATAATAGAACATAACTCTACTTAATCATTTGAATATTTCTTGTAATTAAAATATTTTGTTTTCTATTTTATAATTTATTTTTTTAATAACCAAATTTTATTTATATATATATGATCAATGATAAAGAATACACAATTTTTTAAATAAGTCTAAAAAAATGTAT